GGCTTCAGACACCTGGCCAGGAGCCAGACACCTTCAGGCTTTGGACACCTGGCCAGGAGCCAGACACCTTCAGGCTTCAGACACCTGGCCAGGAGCCAGACACCTTCAGGCTTCAGACACCAAGGCCAAGTCTGCCACCAAGGAACCAGAAGGGTCACCCTCCACGAGTCGGACTCCAGACTGGACAACACCTGGAGCAACAAATGAACCCTGGAAGAGTAAATGAAACTTCACCTCAATTAGTCCAGCCAAAAAGGTATCTGCCACGACAGCCTCGTGATAGGGGAACAGAGCCACGTAGATGAAGAGTTGCCAGTTCCAAGACAATGTGAAGAAGTCCACCTCAGAGCACCTAAATATCTCACCAACAGAAGGATGTGATGTCAATGGTCCACCCCATGGAAATGGGAAGGAAGTAAGATAACCCACCCGCACAGTCACACAAAGTTGGGCACACACTTACACACCAACAAGGTGGAGAGCCTAACCATGAGAATCCAGAAATCGAGCTCCATGAAAAGTCTACCGTCAAAGAGGTGGGTCCAAAGCAAATCCCCCGAGGAAGTCAAATCTACCACACAGCCATAAGAATGTGTACTGTGCAGTGCATCTGATGGAATAACACCAATAACTAACCAAGGAAAGGTCTTGTGAGAGCTGGTCACAATGGCCCAACCGAGAGCCGAGGCATCTGTGAACACATTAAGCAACAAGGGGAAGATGGTGCTAGGGAATTGAACCCCAAGAAGCCTGACAGGGAAGCAAGTGAAGCAAGAGCTAACAAAGGGTGGGGTGGGGCGGGGCTTGAGCCCATCTGTCCCAGCAGCAGCAAAACAGGAAAAATTGGAGGAACCAATACAATGCAGAGTCAAACCCTGCCCAGAGGAAATACCATGCAGCCAAAATTCAGGCTTCTACACAACCTCTCAACCAATAGACAAATCACCAGGAGTTCCAATATCAGATGATGCTGCTGCAGGTGAAAGAAAGCCACAAAAGGCAGGGAAAGAGATGCTGACTGGGAGTCCCAAACAAGACCCAACATGGAACCAACTAGGACTTCCACCAGGTCACCACAACCCTGAACCTGGAGAGCTGGAAAAGAACCAGATCCCTGGCTAGCAAACATGTAGACTAGCCAAGAGCCCAAACCAACCAAACTCAGAGGAAACCAACACACGAACCCCTGAGACACACAGCTGGGTCACCACAACCAACACACGAACCCCTGAGACACACAGCTGGGTCACCACAACCAACACACGAACCCCTGAGACACACAGCTGGGTCACCACAACCTGCACTAACAGGCAAAAACTTGAGAAGCCAGATACAAACCAAAGGACAGAACTTAGAAGCAGAAATCTGGATGACCCACAATGAAACCAAATTAGTCCTTGAATGTTAGATGAAATGGGAAATGCCACGACACATCCCAGAGGTCTCATCCCTGTTGGTCAGGCCTCTCGGGAGCAAACTAACTCCAGAGAAGTAACTACACTTGGTACAGAGGCAACATTAGATGAGCACCCAAGGAAGGGTCACCCAAGTCAACCCGTTCTCGCAAATTTAATAAGTCAATATTGACTTATTAAATATGTCCATAGGTGACATAGTTAACATAATAGATACCCTTAAAAAGACTCATAGAAAACACCGACCTTACCTAACCTTGTTAGTATCTTAAGATAAGCATCTTATTGCTTCGTAATTACAATTATTACCTAACCTATAATAGGTATAGGTTAAGTAATAATTGTAATTACGAAGCAATAAGATGCTTATCTTAAGATACTAACAAGGTTAGGTAAGGTCGGAGTTTTCTATGAATCTTTTTAAGGGTATCTATTATGTTTAGTATATCACCTATGCACGTAGTTAATAAGTCAATATTGACTTTACGAATTTGCGAGAACGGGTTGCCCAAGTATATGCAGCCCAGAGCATAAATACTCCTGGGTTTGTGCCCATCTTAGTGCATGGGCAGTAACTTCACACTGGGCAGTAACTTCACACTGGGCAGTAACTTCACACTGGGCAGTAACCCAGGAGCCACGTGCTAACATACCTTTCATTAGATATCTTTTGGCAGAGTGAATAAGTACTTGACCTCTCACTGTAATTCACATCCCTTTTCAAATTATATTTATAATATAAATAATTTGTGCATAACTACAGTATATCACTGTAATCCTGCACATTAGTAGACATGCAGGGCCTATCATCTGGGTAGGGACCCCATAGCATTACTTTACTCAGGGACTACAAATCTTAAGATGGCCCTAGGTCCATGCAAGATTGCCAAGAAGTAAACATGCACAAGAAGCAAATACTAAACTAAAAGAATGAAGAGCAAGTAAATGGCCCCACTGGATAAAGTTTGAGGGAGAGCCGGCACTTAACAGAACCAGCATCACCTGCTGCAAAAGTATGACCCAAGAAGCACTTTAGTGATATCAACCACATCAGTGACAGGACTGACCTTGGAGCCAGCAGCTGGCCAGGACTCCTGGGTTCCTATTGGTGCCCATCAGTATTAACTAGTTCAAGCTTGAGGTTATCTTGAGATGATTTCGGGGCTTTTTTAGTGTCCCCGTGGCCCGGTCCTCGCCCAGGCCTCCACCCCCAGGAAGCAGCCCGTGACAGCTGACTAACACCCAGGTACCTAATTTACTGCTAGGTAACAGGGGCATAGAGTGAAAGAAACTCTGCCCATTGTTTCTCGCCGGCGCCTGGGATCGAACCCAGGACCACAGGATCACGTGTCCCGCGTGCTGTCCGCTCGACCGACCGGCTCCGAAAAGCTAGTTTCAAGTAAACCAATTGTTTGGATTGAATCAGTTGTGTGGAGTCCCTTGACCATTTTGATGCTTGTTTTCTGTGAACCTTTCGGTTGTCTGTCAAGCTTCACTGACTTTCTGCATGCTTTTTCGTAAGGAGGAGGAGGAGGAGGTGGTGGTGGTGATGGTGGTGGTGGTGGTGGTGGTGGTGGTGGTGGTGGTGGTGGTGGATGGTGGTGGTGGATGGTGGTGGTGAATGGTGGTGGTGGTGGTGATGGTGGTGATGGTGGTGGTGATGGTGGTGGTGGTGGGTGGTGGTGATGATATTGATGGTGGTGGTGATATTGGTGGTGGTGATGATATTGATGGTGGTGGTGGTGGTGGTGATGGTGGTGGTGGTGGATGATGGTGGTGGTGGATGGTGGTGGTGAATGGTGGTGGGTGGTGATGGTGGTGGTGGTGGTGGTGGTGGTGGTGGTGATGGTGGTGGTGGGTGGTGGTGATGGTGGTAGTGGGTGGTGGTGGTGATATTGGTGGTGGTGGTGGGTGGTGGTGATATTGGTGGTGGTGATGATATTGATGGTGGTGGTGGGTGGTGGTGATGATATTGATGGTGGTGGTGATGATAGTCCCTTGCTTCTTGTGCCTGTGTGAGAGCGGTTACCAGGTTTTGGCTCTGGTTCCCGGTGGGCCAAAAGGGACTCCTGTGACAGGACATGACCCAGTAGTGGGGAGCCTTCTCAGCGAGATAGCATCAGGGAGTCATGTAGGGGCTCCTCCCAGAAAATGTGTTTATAAGTGTAGTGAACTGTATTTGTGAGGAACATTCTTCAGCACATCTGTAATTACCTAAGTGTAATTACCTAAGTGTAGTTACGGATGAGAGCTACGCTCGTGGTGTCCCGTCTTCCCAGCACTCTGTCATATAACGCTTTGAAACTACTGACGGTTTTGGCCTCCACCACCACTTCCCTTAGTTTGTTCCAACTGTCTACCACTCTGTTTGCAAAAGAAAATTTTCTAAATGCTTTTGCAGCACCTTTGTTTCCGTAGCTTGCAAACAAAGGTGTTTCAAAGATAGGTAGAGCAGGGGGGGGGGGGGTTACTCACCTAATTGTGCTTGCGGGGTTGAGCTCTGGCTCTTTGGTCCCGCCTCTCAACTGTCAATCAACAGGTGTACAGGTTCCTGAGCCTACTGGGCTCTATCATATCTACACTTGAAACTGTGTATGGAGTCAGCCTCCACCACATCACTTTCTAATGCATTCCATTTATCAACCACTCTGACACTAAAAAAGTTCTTTCTACTTTCTGTGTGTGGTGTGGTGTGGTGTGGTGTGGTGTGTAGATTTAGTTACCTCCACAAGTGAGCTAATCAGGCATCTTTTCCCCCCAAACAACCCAGCCTATGCAAGTGTCACTAGCAGAAAAATATATGATAATTTAGGAAATTCTTACAATTAAAATGAATAATTTTTTCAATGATAATTATCTTATATGGTTTCAAATTTAGATTTAATAAACATTTGATTAGTATAACTGCAAAGAGAGTTTAGATATATTTTCCTTATTCTTTTAAGTCTACGAATTCATGCTGTTGGGTGAAACTAAACAAACCTTTTTGGAACCCAAAGATAGGTTTTAAACCTGTCAAGTTTCAGCAGTCTGTGTTTATCACATTATTACTGTATACACTTGCATCATGCATGTAAGTGTCAATACTTGACTGTGTACACACACACACATACTAGCAGGCATGACTGTGTACACACACACACACATACATACTACCAGGCATGACATGACTGTACACACACACACACATACATACTAGCAGGCATGACTGTACACACACACACATACTACCAGGCATGACTGTACACACACACACATACTACCAGGCATGACTGTACACACACACACACATACATACTAGCAGGCATGACTGTACACACACACACATACTACCAGGCATGACTGTACACACACACACACATACATACTACCAGGCATGACTGTACACACACATACTACCAGGCATGACTGTACACACACACACACACATACATACTAGCAGGCATGACTGTACACACACACACATACTACCAGGCATGACTGTGCACACACACACATACTACCAGGCATGACTGTACACACACACACATACTACCAGGCATGACTGTACACACACACACATACTACCAGGCATGACTGTACACACACACACATACTACCAGGCATGACTGTACACACACACACATACTACCAGGCATGACTGTGCACACACACATACATCCAGGCATGACTGTGCGCGCACACACACACACACTAGCAGGTATGACTGTGCACACACACTACTCAACTTGAAACTTATCAGATAATTCATGTGTTGGCTGTTGTTTCACTTGTTAATGGTCTATTACTATACAACTAGTGGCAGACTCTCACTCTCGTCACAATGGAGGATGTTCATAGGCAACTATTAATGTAATAAAATTTTCAACATGTCATGCATACAACTATTTTTTCTTTGTTTAATGTCATTAATGATGCAACTGACAATTATTTATGCAACTTCAATGCATGTTTCCTCAATACTGTACTTATTAAAAGTTTATATTAACTTAAGTATTACTATATCTTTAATCAAGGTTCAATATTACCATGAGTGCCTGTAATCTATAGCACTTTACAAAACTGGTGAGAATTTATCACTACTAGAGTAAAAATCAGTTAAAACCGTATACAAATTGTTCATGCTTTACACAGCATAATATTTGCTATACTTGCTAACCAGCAAACAATAAAAACTACAGTACTTATGAAGGACTGTCACTGTCGTCACTATTTGCCTGGAAAATTGTATTTTTTACGAGACTTCGGCAAAATAATAAAAACCTCCAATATATTAGAGTACGGGTGTCTACCAAGGATGTGTGACTAGCTTGGGCTGACGTTAGCGTTCAGGAGGTCTCTCGGTCAGACATGGTCGTCTTTTTTCTCGACAGAGCTTCTTGTGCACAGGCCAATCCTTCTGCTGACAATATGTACCACAGTATCTTGCTTCCTGTACAAAAACAAAGATATACCAGTATTTTAAATAAAGGAACAATGTTTGCTTAAAGATAACATCCTACATGTCAAAGTTTTCTAGGGAATCACATTGAATGCATGCTGCTTGTCTTTCAATCATCCTAATTGTTTATCTAATTTTTTACCTATATTCTATTGTTATATTATCTAATAAACTCTGTGGATGATTAGAGACTTCAGGATATATTTCTAAGACCACTCTCTCTCCATACACTATGTACATGTATTATGTTATGCAACACATTGACAAAATGAGGTCAATGGGTATAACTGGTAAAGTAGGACGCTGGATACTCAATTTCTTGTCGAACAGAACACAGAGTAACAGTCAATCAAGTAAAATCGAGTCCGAGCGTAGTTAAAAGCTCTGATCCTCAAGGTACAGTCCTTGAACCACTGCTGTTCCTTATTCTCATATCAGATATAGACAAAAACACAAGTCACAGCTTCGTGTCATCCTTTGCAGATGATGCAAAAATCAGCATGAAAATTACCTCTGCTGAAGACATTGATAAACTACAAATAGATATTAACAAAGTTTTCGATTGGGTAGCAGAAAATAACATGATGTTTAACAGTGATAAATTCCAGGTACTCAGATACGGCAAAAATGAGGATCTTAAACATAATACAGGGTACAAAACACAATCGAATCTGCCCATAGTAGAAAAACAGCATGTCAAGGATTTGGGAATAATAATGTCTGACGACCTAACGTTTAGGGAGCATAACCAAGCAAGTATTGCATCAGCCAGAAAAATGATTGGATGGATTACGAGAACCTTCAAGTCCAGAGATCCCATCACAATGGTTGTACTCTTCAAATCACTTGTGTTGTCCCGTCTTAAGTACTGCTCAGTGCTCACTTCCCCCTTCAGAGCAGGAGAGATTGCTGAAATTGAGGGAATACAGAGAACATATACTGCACGCATAGACGAGATAAAGCACCTAAATTATTGGGATTGTCTCAAAGCTCTCCAAATGTACTCACTAGAAAGGAGACGAGAGAGATACCAAATAATATACACATGGAAAATACTGGAGGGACAGGTCCCAAATCTGCACAGTAAAATAACAACGTACTGGAGTGAATGACATGGAAGAAAATGCGGAATTGAACCAGTGAAGAGCAGAGGTGCCAAGGGCACAATCAGAGAACACTGTATGAACATCAGAGGTCCACGTTGTTCAACGTCCTACCAGCGAGCATCAGAAATATTACAGGAACAACCGTGGACATCTTCAAGAGGAAACTAGATTATTTCCTTCAAGGAGTGCCGGACCAACCGGGCTGTGGTGGGTATGTGGGCCTGCGGGCCACTCCAAGCAACAGCCTGGTGGACCAAACTCTCAAGTCAAGTCTGGCCCCGGGCCGGGCTTAAGGAGTAGAAGAACTCCCAGAACCCCATCAACCAGGTAAACATCGGTAAACTTCCAGTATGATGCCCAGCGTTACATGGTTACAGCATCATAGCCAGTGTTGTGATACCGTAACAGCATCATAACCGGTGAGAAAATCAACTGGAACTCTGCGGTAACTCGAACCCACGACCGAGAGAATCTCGGCCTCTGACGCTAACCACTGGACCGCTCTGACTAGTTGAAGTCATACAGCCTGTCATTTCTAGTGAAATCACAGGAAGTCTGTAGGTCCCTCCTGAAGCTAGTCCAAGTTTTACACATTGCCTCCAAGCACCCAGGTGCAAGCAATGTAGTTCATCCACCATAAGCTCCAACATTAAATACACAGAAATCACACTAATGTGGTATATATCAATGATAAAATCAACAGAGTTCCATTTTATTTTCTCACCGATAGATAGATAGATATCTATAGAGAGACTATCTTCTTAGTTTCCTTAGTGTATCTACACTAAGGAAACGAACATAGGGATGTGCCTAAATGCCAACAGCGACTGCCCAGACAGGTACAAGAGGAGTGTTGTTAACGCATATGTCGACCGTGCTCTCAGCCACAGCTCAGAATGGAAGCAAGTCGACGAAGAACTCTGCAGGGTAAGGCAGGTCCTAGTCAATAACGGCTTCTCCAATGGTTTCGTCGAAGACATCATAAGAAGGAAAGTGAAAAGCCATGCAACCTCTGAAGAGACAACTAACACAACACCTATACCCCCTATTAGACTATTTTACAGGAACTTCTTTTCCACAGCTCATAAAACGGAGGAAAGGGTCCTGAAAGATATTGTTAATAGAAACGTTATCCCTACAGACAAAAATCAGAGGATACAACTGACGATTTACTATAAAACCAGAAAAACGGCCAGCCTACTCATGAGAAACTCTCCAGACACAAAACAGAACGCTTTAAAAGAGACTAACGTCGTCTATGCCTTTAAATGCCCTCTTGGGGACTGTAAGCTCCAAAAAACCCAGTATATAGGCAAGACAACAACATCTCTTTCTAGGCGTTTAACGATGCATAAGCAACAGGGCTCCATTAAGGAACATATAATCTCTTCCCACAACCAAACCATAGCCAGAGAAATCCTAGTAAACAACACAGAAATCATCGATAGATACAGCGATAGCAGGCGGCTTGACGTTTGCGAGGCACTACACATCAAGAAGTCAACACCAGCAATCAACAGCCAATTATTGCACAACTATATTCTACCCACCTCTAGACTCCGCTCCAATATAGAAGCATCAAGAAATATGGACCAATAGGCTTTCTACAAACACTTCTATTCAATACCCATTGTTTCGTGTTCTGTCTTGTGTTGATGAAATTAATACCCTATTAATACCACCTCTTGTTCTGTCTTGTGTTGATGAAATTAATACCCTATTAATGCCACCTCTTGTTCTGTCTTGTGTTAATGCCACATCACCCCTTCCACCTCACTCAAATGTAGATATAAAATCGGAGATGCGTAAGTTCTATTCAGTTGTGTATTTGTGAACTAAAGTCTTTGAAAATGTAATAAGTTTTACGAAACGCGCTCGTGTCGCGTCAGGCTAGAAATAAAAATGAATTTTGGAGAATTGATCTTTGATTTACCTCCAACAGTGAAAAGAAATGTACGAAAGATTGAGAAAATTTGTGTTAGAATTATTAATCTTACTTTTTCGGTCATATTTAATAATATATGTCTACAGGAAAGACTGCTACCAAAATATACTAATATATACTAATATATACTAATATATATATATATATATATATGTCGTACCTAGTAGCCAGAACTCACTTTTCAGCCTACAATGCAAGGCCCGATTTGCCTAATAAGCCAAGTTTTCATGAATTAATATATTTTCTCTATTTTTTTTCTTATGAAATGATAAAGCAACCCATTTCATTATGTAAGCGGTCACTTTTTTTTTATTGACCGAACCTAACCAACCCTACCTAACCTAACCTATCTTTATAGGTTAGGTTAGGTAGCCGAAAAAGTTAGGTTAGGTTGGTTAGGTAGTCGAAAAGCAATTAATTCATGAAAACTTGGCTTATTAGGCAAATCGGGCCTTGCATAGTAGGCTCAGAAGTGCGTTCTGGCTACTAGGTACGACACATACATACATACATACATACACATACATACATATATACATATATACATATATATATATATATATATATATATACAGAGCACCACTTGGTTTCCGAACTTTAGTTATCCGAAACTTCCAGTTTCCCGATTGGGGTTGGGGAGTCATGCTACCCGAACAAAGTTCGGGTAGGAAGGGGTCCGCCAAGCGTCACGCCGGCTTGTTGTGGTGGGTGGGAGATGGTCCAGTTTGCCCGCTGTGACTTCACAGATTCACGGCCTATTATTCCTATTATTTTGAATTGTCATAAGGCTGGAATGTTCAATCTGTGCTTTTGTTTTACATATCTGCACAATCAAGAAACATCTGTGCACCATGTTGGCTCCAAATGCACGCATTGCGTCAGTGATGGCTGACTGGTGGGTGGATGGACGATGGAGCTTAGGTGGGAGGCAGTATGAATGAGGGGGGGGGAGAATCAGTGAGAGAGGGGGAGAGAGAGATGCTAGGAGGGAGGGGGAGGTAGGGAGAGATGTTAGGAGGTAGGGAGAGATGCTAAGAGGGAGGGGGAGGTAGGGAGAGATGCTAGGAGGTAGGCAGGAAGGGATGGAAGTAGTGAGAATTAGGGAGGGAAAGGCAGGCAGGCAGGCACAGGCAGGCACAGGCAGGCACAGGCAGGCAGGCAGGCACAGGCAGGCAGGCACAGGCAGGCAGGCAGGCTAGCTTGCAGGCAGGGAGTGAGTGGTAGTCACGTGGTTGAACCGCGTGACCTTGAGAGATGGGATGTAGGGGGGCGGGTGGTTTGTTGGTGGTGGGGGTGAGACCGGCTCATTCCCGAAGATAAGCCTAACACACACTACCCGTTAGCATGATGGCAGGGAGGGAGGCAGGCTGGCTGGAAAGGAAGCAGGCTGGCAGGCTGGGAAGGAGGCAGGCATGCTGGCTGGGAAGGAAGCAGGCTGGCAGGCTGGGAAGGAGGCAGGCAGGCAGGCTGGGAAGGAGGCAGGCAGGCTGGCTGGGAAGGAAGCAGGCTGGCAGGCTGGGAAGGAGGCAGGCTGGGAAGGAGGCAGGCTTGCAGGCTGGGAAGGAGGCAGGCAGGCAGGCTTGCAGGCTGGGAAGGAGGCAGGCAGGCAGGCTTGCAGGCTGGGAAGGAGGCAGGCAGGCAGGCTTGCAGGCTGGGAAGGAGGCAGGCAGGCAGGCTTGCAGGCTGGGAAGGAGGCAGGCAGGCTTGCAGGCTGGGAAGGAGGCAGGCAGGCTTGCAGGCTGGGAAGGAGGCAGGCAGGCAGGCAGGCTTGCAGGCTGGGAAGGAGGCACGCAGGCAGGCAGGCAGGCTTGCAGGCTGGGAAGGAGGCACGCAGGCAGGCAGGCAGGCTTGCAGGCTGGGAAGGAGGCAGGCAGGCAGGCTTGCAGGCTGGGAAGGAGGCACGCAGGCAGGCAGGCAGGCTTGCAGGCTGGGAAGGAGGC